GCTCGAGAGCCTGGTTCCCTTGGTAAAATAGGGCCCTGCGCATCATTCAGAATGGGTACAGGCTGCAGATCTGTTTCCACGCATCCAGATACAATGGGGTGATCTGGACTGTAGTCGACCCAGTGCAGGGTTGGGTATTGGAACAGGAAGTAAACTCCCTTCTAGAAAAAGAGGCCATAGAACATATTCCTCCAGTAGACAGGGTGTCTGGGCTCTACAGCCGCTACTTCATAGATCCCAAGAAGGATGGGGCGGTTCCATCCGATAATAGATCTCAGGCACTTGAACCGTTCTCTGAGGAGATTCAGATTCAAGATGCTCGCCAACAATCGTGAACCAAATTCAATCCGAGGATTGGTTTGTCACGATAGATCTGAAGGACGCTTACTGTCATATTCATCCTTCCATCTCACAGGAAGTTCCTGAGGTTCGCTTCGGGGGCGAAGCATACCAATATCGGGTTCTTCCGTTCGGCCTAGCACTCTCACCCCCACACATTTACCAAATGTGTGGATACAGCTATAGCACAACCTGAGACTCAAGGATATCAGGGTGCTCAATTTTATAGACGACTGGCTCATTCTGTCTCAGTCACAAGAGCAGGCGGTTCAGCATCGAGATGTTGTCCTCGCCCACATCCAAAAGTTGGGGTGGAGACTCAACACGAAGAAGAGCGTGTTGACATCATCCCAGAGAACGACGTTCCTGGGAGTGGTGTGGGATTCGGTCACGATGCGGGCACAGCTGTCTCCCGCGTGAGTCGGATCCATCCTGGCAACAGTGGCTGGATTGTTCTCAGCTCCCCGCTGCTCACCCACGGGTGGGCAGCACCCTAAATTGGTTAAAGAAAGACTTGACATCCTCACTGAGCTCACAGACTGGAGTGAGTGCCCTCGATGCCCCAGTGTGTCGGCCCACTCACTCCTCTCTGTCTCGGAGGGCGCGGAAGGGTGCGTGTGTCGTCCCCGGGCTACGCCAATCCCTTCCCCCTCTGTCGCCAGACCCCCGGCAGAACGGACCCCCGTGGAACGCTCCGCTTTCCCTGGTCCCTTCTGTCGGGGAGCGGGCTTCGACGCATCCGAGCGGGGTAACCCCTGCACGCGTGCCAGTCGACCTGCCACGCTGCCCCTCCGGGGGGACGTCTGTGGTTCACATGACCCCGTTGGCTCACTTCCTGGAAGCCTGGCTAGTGCTTCCCGGGGTATCCCGCTGGGTCATCAGAACGATCAGATTCGGCTACGCGATTCAGTTCGCACGGTCTCCTCCCCGCTTCAGGGGAGTTCGCTCCACGATAGTCGGTGGCAATGCCCCAGTCCTGAGAGCGGAGATTGCGACCCTGCTGGCGAAGGGTGCAATCGAGACGGTCCATCCAGCCGAGGTGAAGTCCGGGTTTTACAGCCCCTACTTCATTGTCCCCAAGAAGACCGGTGGGTTACGACCGATCCTGGACCTGCGCATTTTGAACCGTTCTCTCCATCGACTACTGTTCAAAATGCTCACGGCCAAACGCATTTTCGAATGTGTTCGGTATCAGGATTGGTTTGCAGCGATCGACCTGAAGGACGCGTACTTCCATGTGTCCATTTTACCTCGACACAGACCGTTTCTTCGGTTTGCCTTCGAGGGCCAGGCATATCAGTACGCCGTTCTCCCATTCGGGTTAGCTCTGTCCCCTCGCGTCTTCACGAAGATCGTCGAGGCAGCCCTTGTTCCCCTTCGCGAACACGGGGTTCGCATCCTGAATTATCTCGACGACTGGCTGATACTAGCACACTCTCGAGCTCAGCTCTGCGAACACAGAGACTTGGTGCTCCGGCACCTAGCCCGTCTGGGCCTTCGGGTCAACCGGGAAAAGAGCAAACTTTGCCCCGTGCAGAGGATCTCTTTTCTCGGCATGGAGATAGACTCGGTCGCCATGTCCGCGCAGCTCACGAACGAGCGCGCGCACTCACTGCTGACTTGTCTTCGACAGTTCGAGGGCAAGAGTGCGCTTCCACTGAAACTATTTCAGAGGCTCCTGGGGCATATGGCATCCGCGGCCGCGGCAACGCCGCTCGGTTTGCTTCATATGAGACCGCTTCAGCTGTGGCTTCGCGATCGAGTCCCGAGGTGGGCATGGCATCGCGGCTCGCTCCGAGTCCCAGTGACTCCGGCATGCCGGCGAACCTTCTTCCCGTGGTCGAACCTCAGCTTTTTACGGACGGGCGTCCCTATTCAGCGAGTTTCCAGACATCTCATCGTCTCCACGGATGCATCTACCACGGGTTGGGGTGCCATGTGCAATGGGCATGCAGCCGCCGGCTCCTGGACGGGAGCCTAGCGCCTCATGCACATCAATTGCCTCGAGCTGCTGGCAGTACGGCTCTGCCTGCACCGCTTCGGAGCGTTGCTCAGGGGCCAGCATGTGCTTGTCCGCTCAGACAACACTACGGCTGTAGCGTACATCAACCACCAGGGGGGTCTACGCTCGCGCCAGTTGTCGCAGCTCGCCCGCCACCTCTTAATATGGAGTCAGAAGCACCTGAGGTCCCTTCGTGCAGTTTACATTCCTGGAGACCGGAACTGGGCAGCCGACGAGCTGTCACGGGTCCGTCCCATCTCCGGCGAATGGCGACTCCATCCCCAGTCGGTCCAGCTGATCTGGGAAGAGTTCGGGGAGGCACAGATAGATCTGTTCGCCTCTCGGGACTCAGCCCACTGCGCCCAGTTTTATTCTCTGACCTGGGGCACTCTCGGTTCGGATGCGCTGGCGCACAGCTGGCCACGGGGCCCACGCAAGTATGCGTTTCCCCCAGTGAGCCTCCTTGCACGGGTGTTGTGCAAGATCAAGGAGGACGAGGAGCAGGTCTTGCTGGTAGCCCCCTATTGGCCTACCAAGACGTGGTTCTCCGATCTCATGCTCCTCGCGACAGCACCTCCTTGGCCTATTCCTCTGAGACCAGACCTACTCTCTCAGAGACGGGGCACTCTTTGGCACCCTCGTCCCGATCTTGGAGGCTGCACGTGTGGCTCCTGGACGGGACGAGGAAGGTTTGAGATCGCTGCCACCTGCGGTGGCGGCAACCATCACTTCCGCAAGAGCGTCGTCCACGAGACACCTTTATGCGTTGAAGTGGAACCTCTTCGTCAGCTGGTGTTCTTCTCGCGGAGAAGACCCCCGGAGATGTCCGGTCAGTGTCGTGCTTTCCTTCCTGCAGGAGGGGTTGGAGCGCAGGCTGTCGCCCTCCACCCTTAAAGTTTACGTCGCGGCCATTGCCGCTTCTCATGAAGCAGTGGAAGGTAAGTCCTTAGGGAAGCACGACCTGGTTATCAGGTTCCTGAGGGGAGCGAGGAGGCTGCGTCCGCCTCGTCTTCCCCTCGTACCCTCTTAGGACCTCTCCGTAGTTTTAAGTGCTCTGCAGAGGCATCCCTTTGAGCCTTTGCAATCAGTAGAGTTAAAGTTTCTGTCCATGAAGACAGCACTCCTGGTTGCATTGGCCTCCATCAAGAGGGTGGGGGACCTGCACGCATTCTCCGTTGACGAAGCGTGCCTGGAGTTCGGGCCGGCTTACTCTCACGTGATCCTGAGACCCCGGCCTGGATATGTGCCCAAGGTTCCCACCACTCCCTTCCGGGACCAGGTGGTGAACCTGCAAGCGCTGCCCCTGGAGGAGGCAGACCCAGCCTTGGCACTGCTCTGTCCGGTACGTGCTCTCCGCACCTATGTCGACAGAACGCAGTGTTTCAGGACCTCAGACCAGCTCTTTGTCTGTTATGGAGGGAGCCAGAAGGGAAGGGCTCTCTCAAAGCAACGGCTGTCCCACTGGATTGTGGACGCCATTGCTTTGTCTTACCAGCAGCAAGGCCGTCCGTGTCCCCTTGGTGTGACGGCCCATTCCACTCGGAGTGTGGCCTCCTCTTGGGCTTTAGCGCACGGCGCCTCGCTAACAGACATCTGCAGAGCTGCAGGCTGGGCGACACCCAACACCTTCGCCAGATTCTATAATCTGCGAATTGAGCCAGTGTCCTCTCTCGTACTCGTTCCGGCCGGTACTGGACCCGCTCAGGTGTCTTCGCTTGCTCGCCACTCCACTCCCCGGACTGGATAAGTGCGATATTTCCTCAGTTCTTCCTTTGAAGTCTTGAGTCCTCCAGCACCGACGATGCGGGCACCACTGCGTTGCTCTGGATGCTAGCTAGGTGCCTCCATGCGCACGGTTCCCCATGGTAACCGTCTCATGTGTATTATCCACTGTAAGCCTCTCTGAGCATGTGTCTTCCCTTGGCAAGCCATCTGCCACCCCTGGAGTTTAAATTAGTAGCCACCTGCGGTTGGTACTCCAGTGTTTCATATGCGTTCCTATGTGGCCATATGTGTATTCTTAAGTCCTCCCTTCGGTAGGCAGCTGGTAGCATGTCCCCTTCGGGATATGTTTCCCAGTGTACCTTGGTAATCCTGTGTCAAAGTCGGATCCCCAAAAAAAAAAAAAAAAGAGGTAAGGCTCGGGGGTTCAGTCTTTCGCAGGGCACTGGAAGACAGCTTGAAGATGGCGTGATGGCACAGACCCCCAATCTCCGTCACTTCTGACGTAACTCGAAGTGACTACGAAAGGGAACGTCTCGGTTACGTATGTAACCCTCGTTCCCTGAGTAGGGAACGGAGACGTTACGTCTCCCTGCCACTTCTGCTGTATCGCTGGGTAGATGCCGAGTTCAGTCTTGGCTCCTCAGCGAAGACATACTGCGGTTGCGTTCACTTCCTCCTTTTATACTCACGGAGTAGGGCGGAGTACGCTATGCAAATTTCCGCAGCCCCAAGGCATTGCATGCCATTGGCTCGTGTTTAAATACTCGAAGAGGATTGGCTTTCTATGCGAAATCCCCCAATCTCCGTCACTTCTGACGTAACGTCTCCGTTCCCTACTCAGGGAACGAGGGTTACATACGTAACCGAGACGTTTCTTATATACTATAGCCTAAATGTTAGTTTAATCTACTACTCTATGGATTTGGAATGCCAAAAGTGAATTTCAGTAATGATACCTGCAACTTTCCCCCCCAGAATAAATTCATCACATAACCTGGCTGTGACCACTTACCTCTTCGAAGAATTAAGGTCAACTTTTACAGACGTTGACCCTGAATGTGTAAAAGGTAATCTTAAAGATGTTGTAATCATTTTATTGTCCTCTGTTTTACTTATTTTTATTGCCATTACATTTATTTATGATATATTTAGCAGGTTGGAAGATGTATTTTGAGACTTTGCGGAGGAAGTATTCTTTGGCTCAGCCTGAAAAGGCCCAGAAAAGAAAAACTATGACGAGCATTGCAAAGAACCTTCAAAGAAAGCGACTGGTAAGTTAAGAAACTGGTTAAGCACTTTTTTTTCTCTTCAGAATGTAACTATCCTCCTCTCTGTGTTTTAGTGGTTAAGTTACTGTCATGTTTTTCAGTTGCTGGAGACCAGGTCCGGGGTTGTACAAACCAACACAGAAAAGGAACTTTGGAAGACCGCAACAATAGAACTGATGTCTGATGAAGATGATGCTATTGTTGATGGAAGGCCAGTGTGAATGGTGAGGTCTCCACCAATCTGCTCTCTGCTAGGTACTATAAAACAGACTAGAGGCTGACCCACACTATGCGTCACACCACCAGCGTATCATGGCAGTTTGAAAAATGTTAACTCGTATAAAAAAAAAAAATATATATATATATATATATATATATATATATATATATATATATAACCGTTCAAAAGTTTGGGGGTCGGTAAGATATTTTTTTTTTGGTTTGGGGGGGATAGCTCAAATTAACTCAATACTTTTATTCAGCAAGGATGCATTAAATGAATCAAACGTGACAGTAAAGACATTTATAATGTTACAAAACATCATATTTCAAATAAATGAAATATAACTTTCTATTGATCAAATAATCCTAAAAAGTCTACAACTGTTTTCAACTTTGGTAATAATAATGAATATTTATTGAGCATCAAATCATCACATTAGAATGATTTCTGAAGGATCATGTGACACTGAAGACTGGAGTAATGATGCTAAAAATTCATCTTTGATCACAAGAATAATGTATTCCAATAGAAACGTTTATTTTAAATTGTCATAATATTTAACAATATTACTCTTACTTTTTTTGTATTTTTTATATATAAAAAAAAGCAGCCTTGGCGAGCATATGAGACTTCTTACCGATCCCAAACTTATAAACGGCAGTGTACACCTTGAATATTTTATATACACTTTAATTTCTTATTTATTTTTCTCGTATTATTTCATATATTTGTTCCTTTTTTTGTTGTCCATGTTGCTTATCTCCATTTTGTTTACTTGTTTGCATTTTAATGTATGTTTATAATGCACTCTCTGTAATGTTCTATTTATTTATATTGTTTACTTGGAATATCTACGTATATTATATATATATATATATATATATATATATATATATATATATATATGCAGTGTTGGGAGTAACGCATTACAAAAGTAATACATTACAGTAACATATTACTTTTTGCTGTAACACAATAGTGTAAGGCATTACTAATCAATTTTCAGTAATATTTTACTCGTTACATGTTCAGTGATGCTTGTATTACAGTTGTATTACAGTGTATTGTCTGCTTTTACTTCTTAAAGGCAACAGACTATGTGAAAGTTTTAAAGCAGTCTTTTAGTTCCAGTTCAGAGCGGTCGCGTCTGTAACGTTGTTTTTTCTTCATAAATGCGAACACGAAAACTAAAATAAAATGAATATTTTAAGTTCTATGGAGACTGGAGAGCCAACCCTTCCTCATCCGATTTGCGCAGTGTAATTAACAGAATTACAAAAAATCGATTTTGCCTCCTATTTTTTTGTCACGCATGAATGTGTGTCTTTTCCCTAATATTAAAAATAAAACATAGACTGATATTTGTCTAATGTCTGGAGTCCTTTAAGGAAGTAGCCTATATAGCCTGAGAATTTTTATTTCAAGTTTTGACTGCAATTAAATGTCATCATGTCCATAATGCTGGACTTCCCCAATTTTAAATAATTTATCCTCAACTAGTTTTGTGGTGTAGGTCTACGTATTTTATAATGTTAACTTCAAATACTAATAGCCTAATTTAAAGATAAGGCAGCATTGGATCTGGACGGTAAGGAGAATAACGCTGGAGTTGGAAGAGGTGTGTCGCGATTCTGTAGGTTCGTGGATCTGAGTCGTGTGGCGAATCGCGAATTCGGTTTCATATTGCATATCGTTACAGCCCAAAGTTAAGTTCTACTTAGTTATTTTGGTGAAAGTAACTCAAAAGTAATACATGAGTAATGTAATGCATTACAATTCTGGGACAGTAATATTGTAAGGTAATGAATTACTTTTAAATAACAGTAACAAGTAATACCTAATGTATTACAGTTTGGAAGTAACTTGCAAAACACTGTATATATGAAGAGTTCAGATGCAAAAGCCTCTAAATGCCATTTGAAATTTTCTCCTTTAATGATGATTTTTATCAAACTTGTATATTTAAGTTTAGTAATTTCACTTAAATAACAATTAATAGGCAATTATCATTGCCATTTAAGAGAAATTACTGAACTTAAATATACAAGTTTGATAAAAATCATCATTAAAGGAGAAAATTTCAAATGGAACTCTTCATATATTTTATATTTATATATATGTAACTTTTTATATACACTGTGTACTTTATTCCTTTACATCTGTCCTTTAAAATGATTGGGTAAAAAAAATTAACGAAAATAAAAAGTTAACAATTTATTTAATGTATGTTTATAATTTTCTTTGGAATGTCCATGATTTTTTTTTTCTTCCTTTGAGATGTTATTACTTCATACTTTTTTTTCTAGTTTTTGTTCCCAATTCCTCTGTAATGCTTGTTTATAATGCTATTTGGAATGTGTTATATACCTTAATAAAAATTTCAGACTTTCCCATTGTTCTTTGTGTGTTTAAATATAAATATATATATATATATATATATATATATATATATATATATATATATCAAATTTATTTTAATGAATATATTAAAATTGGGGGAGTGAGGTTTGGTATATATTTGAGCAATATCTGCATAGCTGGTATATAACCAATCAAATCAGTATGCTACAAGGCCTAGGGTGGGCTATGTTTAAAAGTAACCAATAAAGTCCGTTTACTGGGTTTTCAATGTGTCCTGCCCTCCAATAGTGGTCTGGGTGTTGGGAGTGGCTTTAAAAGAACAACCAATCCAGTTTGGTTGGAAGGCAAAAAGGTGTGAATGTTTCCTGCAAAAAGGTGTGATTTTTTCCTGCTAAAAACTTTAATGGGATAACTTGCCATGGCAACAAATGGCTCTAGCACGGAAGTATACGTCCACAACATACATCCGATTTGGTATCATTCCGGATGTATGCGGATATATACAAACCCATGGAATTTGACATATCCGGCCACTATACTCCTGGATTCTTCAGAATTTCAGCAGTGTATACAGGAGTATACTGGTCCGGATACACCTATTTTCATGCAGTGACATTTATGTTCAAACACCATGTAAAAGTGAATTTTCCATAATAGGTGCCCTTTAATGCATAAATTATGCATTCATTCATGCATTAATATCTCATGAATCATCAGGAACTAACACAAGTTCAAAGTTTTTCATTCATGACTTCATGAATGAACAACACCATAATTAAAACATTAACTAAGACGAGCACATCATCATGAATTATGATTTATTACGCATGATCATGATGTTTTCTTTGTTCACAGTTATGCTACCTTTCAATAGCACATTGTTCATCAGTGTTTCAAAGGACCTAGTCACCACTTTAGTTAAGGGGCCACACACATGATGAAGTCATTGATAGATAATGCTTAGTTAATGATGACTTCTGTATTTGATTTACAGAATGTGTGTTCTATGAGCTGTGATTGGTCTATTATGGTGTCTGTCCAATAGTCATCATTAACTAAGCATTAATCTATTAATGACTTCATCATGTGTGTGGCCCCTTAAATAAAGTGGTGACTAGGTCACTGACCTTGACAAAGAACAAAGAAAACATCATGATCATGCGTAATAAATCATAATCCATGATGATGTGCATATCTTAGTCGTGAATGAAAAACGTTGAACTTGTGTTAGTTTCTGATGATTCATGAGAAATAATGCATGAATGAATGCATAATTCATGCATTAATTTATACATGAATTCATGATAATTCATGTACCCTTACCGTAAAGTGTTACCAAATATACTTTTGTGTTCATGTGTACATCCGAACACTGATCGACTGCCATGCTTCGGCTGCACAGCTCCGTCTCGTCTGTCACTGAACATGGGCTGGCATATGCAAATGTTAGGGGTCGTACATATTAATGATCCCGACTGTTACGTAACAGTCGGTATTATGTGGAGATTCGCCTGTTTTTCAGGGGTGTTTTTTAAAAATGAGATTTAAGTAAGAAGGAGAAAACAATGGTGTTCGAGGCTCACTGTATGTCATGTCCATGTACTGAACTCTTGTTATTTAACTATGCCAACATAAATTAAATTTCACATTATAGGGCACCTTTAATGTTACAACAAATTTACAAATTGTTTGACACAAATAATGACAACTTGACTGCTGTTAGAGAATCATATTTTATAATTATACTGGCCATGGATGCATTAATCATTGCATCTTTCTTTCAAAGATGTCAGGTAAAAAGCAAACAAGCATCCTCTCATTTGCCCTGAGAGGAAAGCCCCCTAAAATGGCTGGGCTTGAGCCAACGTGTTTTAAATTGGAGCCAACACCACAAATGATAAAGGAGTCCAAAAAGGCAACAAACACTTACAACAAACAACACAGTCATAATCGCTCTCTCTCTCTCTCTCTCTCTCTTGCTTTGCATGCTGGGGGTTTGGGCTATGGGAGCAACAAACGGGTGAGAAGAGCGATTTGTTTTTTTCCGCTTTTTTTCTAGTTTCTATTTGTTTTTGTTTTTTTGTGGTTTTCTATTTTTCTTCTTTTATGTTTTTTTTTCTCTTGTTTTGTGCATAGATTGGTAAACTTAATCTTCAAGTATCATACACGCTTCTGTTGTTGAGGGTTTTCGGCTTCGTGGCGGAGGCCTGAGATGGAGGCTCACCCGAGTGGGGGTGTAGCCTCACTCTGGCTCCGCCATGGGGTCAGGTGTGTACCTGACGCGGACTCTAATGTGGAAGACGTGCTTGTCGCTGTTGGTGAACAGATTGGAGTTGACAATATAATTTCAGCGTCAAGGATGAATAAAGCAGTGGTGGTTTTCCTTAAAGATGAAAGTTTGGTGAGTAAACTAATTGAAACCAGCGTTTGGGTAAATGGAGCGTTTACTGTTGTGTCTCCGCTTGTGTCGCAATCTGTTAGAGTAACGATCTCTAATGTGCCGCCGTTTATATTAAACAGTGACATTGAAAAGGAGTTGTTGAGGTTTGGAAAAATGGCCAGTGAAGTGAAAATGATTCCGTTGAGATGTAAGAATGAAACACTGAAACACGTTCTGTCGTTTAGGCGTCAGGTGTTTATGTTTCTTGATCAACAAACGCTGGACATTTCTTTCCGAATCAAACATGAGGGGAAATCTTACATGATTTACGCGAGCACCGGCAACATGAAATGTTTTGAATGCGGAGACGTTGGACATAAAAAGATCGC